TGTTTTTACCCAAACACCTGTAAGTTTGTAGTTTGAGCACATTTATGATAGACTTGTAATGTTTTCACCCAACCATATATGAGGATATATTTCTAGCACATAAATTCCTTTTCTGATTTATTCCAGCCCTTATCTAACTCCACCTTTATTCACTGCCACTTTGTGTTGCAAGGGAAGTTAACCAGGAGATTTCGGGCGGGGACCTTGCAATTCTTCTATCGTGTTGTAAACATGAGGTGTTGCTGTTTTTAGGGAGATATAGACTGGTGCCCCCAAGTGAACCAGGCAGCATTATGGTGGCAGATGAATAAACCAGCTGGACAAAAGAGCTCCATGTATTTCAATTCATTTCCCGCCCTTAGTAGCGTCTCTTCTGGGCCCCTGGGAAGGAAATTAAAGAGGCTGTGAAGGGTTCACAACGCGGCTACATTTACTGGGCGGACACTTCCGCCTAGCCATTTCCGCATCAAAAAAGCGTCTTCCATAGCTAGGATACCCTGTTGTCCCGGATATCTCCGCCTAGCAAGTTCCGGGCCAAGGGGTCTCGCGTGATCAGAGTCCCGTGCCATTGCATGGTGATGTAAGCGCGCAACATGACCATGTAGCGACGTGACCTGGCCACGCCCCCAGCCGGTTTTAAAAGTCCGGCGCGATATCCCCCATCTCTCTTCTCCACGCACGTGTCTTTCCCACAGGCCTGCACTTTCTGTCCTTTGTTTCTGATTAAACTCTATAAGCGGATTCTGTCGTGTTTCATGACGTTTCCTTGCAAAGGGTAAGAACACAACGCAGACAAAAACCTAACATTCTGGTGCCGAAACCCGGGAATCTGCTCCTTACGCGACAGACCGCTCTCCATTAGCCTGAATCGCATCCGAGTCCCATCCAACACCGACCGGATTGGTGAGTGCCCCCGCTTTCGGCCAGCGTAAACGGTTTCCTACACCTGTGTGTTCGGCGCCTCACACGTGTTCTTGAGACCGGGGGAACCCCCGACCACGGTCTTCATTGGCTGCGGTCGGCCCCTATCGCTGGCCAACTGGCCCAACTTTTCCAGCCGTCTCCCACGCCTGCAGCCTGAGATATTTTTCGCGTTGGGGGCCACCGTCGGGTGCGCCCCTGTAAATCTACGTGAGTGGACACGTCCATCTCCTTGACGGAGGAACAAACGTTGTCTGGACTCCCGGGGAGTCCTTTCCTCACCGTGGAGGGGGCCCCTGCTTCTTTGGCTGACGAGCCTAGGAGCAGCCTGTGCCTGAAATCTGTCCTAGACTCTGGGGACGCCTGAGGTCTTGGCTCCGGATTACGTTTATTTTTATTTTTATTTTTATATTCATTTTTATTTTTTTTATTTTTCTGCCTCTACTACAGACATGGGAAACAAGGCTTCCAACTCTGTTACTCCTTCCTCTCCATTGGGCTGTCTTGTTGAAGCTTTAA